CAGCCGTGGCGCGAGCGCGGGGGGCGAGGCCAGGGCGCGGTCAGGTGGCGCCCACCTCTTCGCCCCGACACGCTCAGTCCTCCCCCCGCGCTCCCACACCCCCTCCTCGACCCTCCGAGGACTTCGGCCTGGTACTCCAACTCCAGCCCTCCTCGGCACTCTGCTTGAGGAGTGGGTCCTCGTCGCCGGACCATCTGATGCGTCGGCTGGGCGGTCGGAGCGTCTCTATTGTGGCGCCCTCACTGCTTACGACAAACAAGCTGGCCCCTCAGAAAGATGCACAGACATTCACGCGTTGCTTGTGCTAATTGTAAGTGTGCCGGCGTAGGAGAGTGAAAAAAGTGTCAGCACTCTCATCGTGCCCTCCAAATGGTGCAGTCGGCGTCGTGCTATCTACGTGGTGAAACCCACATGGCGTGATCCAAGTGGTGCACGCTACGTAATGCAAGCGGTTCGGTGCAACCTACGCGGGCCAAACAGCAGAGTGCAGTGCTTGTGATGCAAGCTATTTGGCGCAACTACCTGTTTCACTCGCTAACGCACTTCCTCTTCCAACCCCCTTCTTCCCCTTCGGGGAGGGGTTTACCCCTCCCCCTACCCCGTCCCCTGGACCAGGACGGAAGGTTCCGCGGGTCGTTGGGGCGTCCAAGATGGCCCAAGACGGCTCCAAGAGCGAAAAGGCGAGAAAGCAAAAAAACATTGATTTCCCTCGATTTGGGAAGGATGTTGGCCCCTTTGGGGGCCCAAGAGGCGATTCGAGGCACTCTAGAGGGGCAGCGCTAATTGACACCCCCCCCTTCTTTGATAGATCTCCTCCAACATGGCCCCAAGAGCGCCCCGAAGGCCCCCAAGAGCGCCCCAAGAGCGCCCCAAGAGGCCCCAAGAGGCGCCCAAGAGGCCTCCAAGAGGCTCCCAAGAGACCCCCAAGAGGCCCCAAGAGGCTCCCCGAGATACGCAAGAGGCACCCGGGACCGCCAAGAGGCCCCAAAGACGGCCCAAGAGGCCCTCAAGCTCGCCATCTCCTCTTTTTCGTCCTCCTCCCTCCTCCCCCTCCCTCCCTCTCCTCCCCCTCCTCCTCCTCCTACTCCTCCTCCTCCTTCTCCTCCTCCTCCTCCTCGTTCTCCTTCTCCTCCTTCTCGTCCTCCATGTCCTCGCCCTCCTCCATCTCCTCCTCCTCCTCCTCCTCCTCCTCCTCCTGGGCACCCACCGCATACTCAGACTATAGCTCGCCATCCCGTGGGGGCTGCGATTTGCGAAACCGTCGCCACCTTCGAGGGCAGCTGGGGGGGCCAGCGGAGTGAGGTACCACTCAGACTCAGATTAGACTTCGCCATCCCTGGGGGGCTGCGATCTGCAAAACTGTCGCCATTTTCAAGATTCGTTGGGGGGTCCAGCGGAATGAGGCACCACCCAAACTCAGACTAGACCTCGCCATCCCAGGGGGGCTGCGATATGCGAAGCTGTCACCATTTTCGAGGGCTGATGGTGGGGGGTCCAGCGGAATGAAGCACCATCCATGCTCAGATTGGACGTCGCCATCCTTGGGGGGCTGCGATCTGCGAAGCTGTCACCACTTTCGAGGGCTGCGGGGGGTTCAGCGGGGTGAGGTACCACCCACACTCAGACTAGACCTCGCCATCCCTGTGGGGCTGCGGTCTGCGAAACTTTACATGTTGCGAGGGTTGCTGGGGGCTTCAGTTGGGTGAGGCACCGCCCAGACTCTTACTAGACCTCGCCATCCACGGGGGGCTGCGATGTGCAAAACTGTCACCATGTTCGACGACCGCAGGGGGATCCAGCGGGACCCCCCGCATTCCTCGCGGCGCGCCATCGAGCGTCTAACTCTCCCGTACTGAAGAGTGCGGGAAGGAAACAGGGACAGTGGCAGGCGGGCCAGGTGTCGCTCGCTTCTAGCACTGAGTATATGAAGTTGTTTTTTATCGTGTTTGTCGAGCGCCGCGGCGACATGGCGCAGGCAACGCTGCATCTCTAGCGCACCACCGACAAACGCAACACTCGTTGGCCTCCTCCCGCCACTTTCGTCGGCGTCCTCTGCCACTGTCGTCGGCGTCCTCTGCCCCTGCCACCGTCCCTCTGCTGCCGCCGAGCCGACGGGTGTCCCCCCCCCCCCCCGCGTCCCTTTCCTGCCGTTCGTTCCCGCCCCCATGTCCTTCCCAAGCCTGGGCGATCGATCCTCGTCCTTCCGCTGTTGTCGTGTGGATCGTGCCACGTGACCGCATCCCATGCAGTTTGCTCAACCTATAACGGCGCCTGCACCGTCATTGTCCTGGCAAGTTTGGGCCAACTCCCCTCGCCACGTGATGCAAATGGGTTGGGTACGTCACAGGGTAGTACAATGACGCATCGAAATCTGCAAAAACATCAACTGTGCCCTTTTCTGCTGTGCGCCGACTCACCTGGGACTCTCACACAACGCATGTCTTAGATCAACGCGAACGCACCGCATCCAATATTTGCCAAGAGTGACGGGGGGTCAGTACTGGTTGACCCGGGATTTTCTTGTTTGGGATTGTGAATGATCGTGACGGATACACATGGGAAGCAAATGCGCCCGTATCTGCTCGATGGTTTCGCTAAGAGGCGCGGGAGGGACGAGACCCTGCGCAGCGCCCGCCTTGGGGCCGTAGCTGGATAGCGGCAACAGAACGGCTACATGGGATAGGAGGGAGCAGGACAAGCACCGGGCGGAGCGCAAGGAGGACAGGCGGAGGGGAATGTCATCATCCTTCCCCATCCACCTTCCTTCTCTACCTCTCCATGTGCTCCTCCTGCCCCCTCCCCCTCATCCCCATCAAGAGAAGCAGCAGAACGAAGCCCTGGACGGGCGAGAGGAGTGGGAGCAGTGTGGAAGATAAGGGAAGCGAGCCTCCCCCCTCCTCCTCCTCCTCCCTCTACCTCCTCCTCCTCCTCCTCCTCCTCCTCCTCCTCCTCCCCCTCCCCCTCCCCCCCCCCCCCCCCTCCCCCTCCCCCTCCCCCCTCCTCCTCCTCCTCCTCCTCCTCCTCCTCCTCCTCCTCCTCCTCCTCCTCCTCCTCCTCCTCCTCCTCCTCCTCCGCCTCCTCCTCCTCCTCTCCTCCTCCTCCTCTCCTCCTCCTCCTCCTCCTCCTCCTCCTCCTCCTCCTCCTCCTCCTCCTCCTCCTCCTCCCCTCCTCCTCCTCCTCCTCCTCCTCCTCCTCCTCCTCCTCCTCCTCCTCCTCCTCCTCCTCCTCCTCCTCCTCCTCCTCCTCCTCCTCCTCCTCCTCCCTCTCCTCCTCCCTCTCCTCCTCCCTCTCCTCCTCCCTCTCCTCCTCCTCCTCCTCCTCCTCCTCCTCCTCCTCCTCCTCCTCCTCCTCCTCCTCCTCCTCCTCCTCCTCCTCCTCCTCATCCTTCTCCTCCGTAGCCATTTTGGCTCAAGCCGCCGCCGCTGGGTGCCCGCGCGCCGCGCTCCCCGGGTACTGTGGAGACGGATGCCCGCCGCGCGAAGGCGCCGCGCGACGCCGTGCGCGGCGCGGTCCTCGCGACGCACGCTGCGGTCCTGGGCCATCGGGCGGCAGCCGCGAGGCACAGCGCCTGGCGCGGGCCGCCGCGGGCCTGCTGCGAGCCGCGCGGGCGGCCCTCGCAGCGCCGCCCGAGCCCCCCTCGGCCGCGCAGGCGCAGGAGGCACCCGCTGCTGCCCCTCGGCGGCGGCGGCGTCCTCGCGGGCGCGGCGGCGCGGCGGGCCCTGGCGGGCGCGCGGAGGGCGCCAACTCGGACGAGCAGATGGCCGACGTCGGGGCGGAGAGGAGCGTGGCGATGGTGCCCGTCACGTCTCCTGCCCCGCTGCCGTCCGACGAGTGGGCGGAGGACCTGCCTGTGGTACGGCGCGGACGCGTGGCGGGCGGCACAGGCCGTGGCGGTGGCAAGGGCAAGGACTCGGGCAAGGGAGGTGCTGGCAAAGACAGGAGCAGCGGCTCGGAGCCGGACGGGTTCCGCCAGGACGTCTTCCGCCGGATGAAGCATTTCGGCCTGCCCTGTGTGCGGGAGAACCTCCCGCGCGACGTCGTGGAGCTCCCCACATGGCCGAGCGGCTGCACGCCCTGCTCGGCGAGGCGGGCGAGCACGCCGGCGGTGGCGGCGAGGGAGGTCGGCCTCGGCGTCAGCGGCGTGGGTAGGACCGCCCTCGCCATCGGCCACCTCACGGTCGGCGTGGTGAAGGTCGTCGTGGTCGGCCTCGCGGCAGGGGGCCCTGTCCTCTCAGGACCCCCGTGGTCGGGGGTCCTGTCCTCTCAGGACCCCCGCGCGGTCGGGGGCCTTGCCCATCGGGCGGGCCCCCGCGGCGCCCGACCGCGCGTGTCGTGCGTGCGCGCGCGTGGGCTCCCGGGCGCGCGGAGGCGGCGGCACCGCTTCCTCTGTGGCTCGCTCCTCCTCCTCCTCCTCCTCCTCCTCCTCCTCCTCCTCCTCCTTCATCTCCTCCTCCTCCTCCTCCTTTTCCTCCTCCTCATCCTCCTCCTCCTCCTAATTATGTGTCTCCTTCTCCTGTTTTTCCCCCTCCTCCTCCCCCTCCTCCTTCTCCTCCTCCTCCACCATCCTTCCCCTTCCAAAACCAAAAAGGAATGTCCAGAGCGGAACCAACATCGGGGACCAGGGATAAGGCTGCGGCGCAGACGCTGACCGAAACCAGCGGACCGGAACCAGACTGGAAGGACGCACCGGCGCAGCAACCGACCGAACGACGAGATGCACCCGACTGCGAATCGGACGAGCCACCGACCGAACCACTGACCGAACCAAGGGCACCATTGGGAACCCACCGATCGTAGGAAGTTTGGGGGGGGGCCAGGTACCCTTTCCAGAGAGCAACCACTGTAATGATCAGATCTGCGCGTAAACATGCAACAAGACAGCTAGGCCCTCGAAGCCCCGATACTCCGTCGATCGTCGGCGGAAGAGCTCCCTCCCCCCCCCCAAGACCGCGCACGGCCCCAGCCAGCGCCCAGCTCCTGCTCCTCGGTGCGCTGCTCCTTCACCTCCACCGCGACGGTCCGCTTCGACTTGCGCTCCTCCATACGCCGGAACTCCTGCCCGCAGCGGGGCCACGCGCCCCCCCTTTGAGGTGGATGTTCTCCTGAAAGGACGAAAACGTGAGAAACCCCGTCCGACGTAACCGGGGGAGGAGGAGGAGGAGGAGGAGGAGGAGGAGGAGGAGGAGGAGGAGAGGAGGAGGAAGAGGAGAGGGGAGGAGGAGGATGAGGAGGAGGAAGAGGGGGAGGAGAGAGGAGGAGGAGGAGGAGAGAGAGGAGAGAGGAGGGAGGAGAGAGGAGGAGGAGGAGGAGAGGGAGGAGGAGGAGGAGGAAGAGGAGGAGGAGGAGGAGGAGAAAGGGTACGAGGAGGAGGAGGAGGAAGAGGGGGAGGAGGAGGAGGAGGAGCGGCCCCTGGTTCGGGTGGAGCCGTCGCCCCTGTCGTGCCTGCGCCTGGCCCGAACACGTTGCGGGCAGGGCTGGGGGTGCGGCCACACGGGCAGTACCCTGAACGTGCGAGATTCCACTACCAGCTCCTCCTCCCTCGTCCCTGCCCGTTCCTCCTCCTCCTGCTCCCCCTCCTGCTCCTCCTGCTGCTCCTCCTCCTCCTTCTCCTCCTCCTCCTCCTCCTCCTCATCCTCCCGTGTTCATCCTTCTCTTTCTCTGATTACCTCAGCCTTCGCCCTGTACTTCCCCCATTCCATTTCCATCTGAATCGTCCTCCCTGTCGCGCCCCGAGGCCAGGTCGAAGGGCGGGCCGTGCGTTTCGCCGAAGACTTCCTCACCATCTATCATCCAACAGTTTTGCAAATGAAGGCGGGTGGCGTTCAAAATGTGGCTCTCGCCTTAGCGCCGCGAAAATTCGTTTTGAGCATTACCGACAGTTTCACGGATTGAGGGCAGGTCGTTTTCAAAATGTGGCTCTCGCCTGAGCGCCGTGCACACTCGTCTTCAAAACCCACCAACCCACTGTGCGTAGGTGGTCTAGTGCGGCTCCTCTTCCAACCCGCTTCTTCCCCTTCGGGGAGGGGTTTCCCCCTCCCCCTACCCCCTCCCATTGACCTGGACGGGGCCGGTCGCGAGCGGTCAGGGCGTCCAAAACGGCCTCGGCGAGGAAACCAAAATCATTGGATTTACCAGGGTTTGGGCACCATGTTGGCCTCTTTGGGGGGGGGGGCGCAAAATGAAGCTCCCCTTTCTTTGATCGATATCTTCCAAGATGACCCCAAGAAGCGCCAAGGAGGCCTCAAGAGGTTCCAAGATGACCCCAAGATGGCCCCGATAAGCTCCCAAGAGGCCCCCAGACGGCCCCCAAGAGGACCCCCCGACGCACCCAAGACTCCCAAGAACCCCCCCGGACCGCCAAGAGACCACCAAAACGTCCCAAGAGGCCACCAAGAAGCGCCCATGAGATATCCCCAGAGACCTCTGGCCCTTTTGCTTACCCTCTTCCTTCTGTTCCTCCTTCCTCCTCATGCTCCTTCTCTTCCTTCTCCTCCTCCTTCTTCTCCTCCTCCTCATCCTGTTAATCCTCCTTCTCTCTTTCCCTCATCCATCCATCCAGCCTACTCCTTCTCCTCCTCCCTCCTTCGCACGGTTCGGCCGTCCCCCTCTTTGCCCCCGCTAATCCCTGATCACCTAAACTCGCCTGGACATCGTTTTTGAATCGGTTGGTGGGGATATTTTTTTTAAACAGCCGCAGGCGGAAGCGCCAGCGGCGGCGGGTCACGGTCGGGCTGCGGCCGTGACGAATTAGCCGGGCGCGCGCGGGGGCCGCGGATCAGGCGGCGGTGCAAACTGCAGCCCAGGGAGTCTGAAGGGAAACAGCCACCCAGGAAGCAGGGAGGACGCTGCCAAAATGGCGCGACGCCCATCCCCAGTCATGGATCGTGTCGGTCCGACAATCACGAGGTATTGGGGATCAGTCTCCGTGCATGAGGGGCGTCAGAGAGCCCAGGGTGTCTGTCGGGTATAAGCGGGACCGTAGGCAAAAGAGCTGACGTCGTCCAGCAGGGAGAAGGGTCTCTGACAGCGCCAGCGAAACGTCGCAGCTTCAGAGAACGCATCCACGCGGCTGACAGGGTACGCCTGAAATCTTTGACAACCGGAGTCAACCTCAGAACAACTGCGGAGGAATGCGTCTGCACGCGAGAGATCAACGACATGATGTGACGCAGTGCAGGGGTACACCTGATCCCGACCTTGGCGAGAGACACGTCGGCCAATCGAGGGTGACGGGGCGTGTACCAGGAGGCAACTAAGTGACATAACAAAGAGCGGCTCTCCACCCACGCTGAGGGGCCAGAAAAAGGAAGCGCTATGAGAAAGCTGCGCTGCCGCATACCCACTGCAGCACAAGACTGGTGGGGATACGCGAAGCGCCTGGAATTCTGCAAGTGCTGTTGAAGGCGGGTGGTTTTCAAAAGGAGGCGTCCCCCTTCACGCCAGGCACATTCGTTTATGTATATGTGTACAACTATATAGATATAGAACTTATAGTCGATTCACGGAGTGAGGGCGAGTCGTTTTCAAAATGTGGTTCTCGCCTTCGCGCCGCGCACATCATATTGCAAACTTCATCGACGATTCACGGAAAGAGGACGGTTCTTTTTCATGATGTGGCTCTCGCCTTGGCGCCGTGCACGCTCGGCTTCAAATTCTGCAAGGCGTTTCACGGATTGAAGGCGGGTGGCTTTCGATACGTTGCCCTCCTTTGAGCGCCGCGCACATGCGTCTTCAAAAGTTGTAGAATCTTCACGGATTGAGGGCGGTTGGTTTTCAAAATGCGGTTCTCGCTTTAGCGCCTCGCACATTCGTCTTCAAAAACTTGCAAGAGCTTCACGGATTGAGGTCGGCTCGGTTTGACAATCTGGCTCTCGCCTGAGCGCCGCGCACATTCGATTTGACAATTTGCAAGAGGTTCACGGAGTAAGGGCGCGTGGTTTTGAAAACGAGGCTGTCGCCTTAGCACCGCGCACATTCGACTTGAGCTGCTCAAGAGTTACACGGATTGTGAGCGCTTTGTGTTTCAAATGTGGCTCTCCCCGTAGCGACGCCCACATTCGGTTTCGAAAATTGGAATATTATCGGATTGAAGGCGGGTGGCTTTCAAAATGTTGATATCGGTTTAGCGCCGCGCACGTTCGTTTCAAAAACTGCAAGAGAATCACGGATTGAGGGAAGGTCGTTTTCAAAATGTGGCTCTCGACTTAGCGCCGCGCGCATTTGTTGTTCAACAGTTGCAAAGGTTACACGGGTCCCGTGGTTAACGTACCAGCCATGGTGTTCTGGAGCGGTTCAGGATTGCCAGGGAGCAACAGTTACGTTGATTCGCGGTGATGAAGTCCCATGACCGGCGCTCTGGTACGATTCAGGACGGTGAAGACGCAAGTGTCAGGGTGACTCGTGGCGTTGAAGCTCCGAGAATGGCGGCCTGGTACGCTTCAGGATCTTCCAATGGTTGACCCCTAACAAAACACGCCCCTCAATAGAGATGAACGCCTTTAGCGGTCTGTGAAGAGGGAGCTTGATTCCAACATCGTTAAACCACTCTCGCCATCCTGCACGCATTGTAGTACGTGTGGGACGTTGCTCCTGGAAGAAGGTACATACGCCTTGTGATATTAGAACCAATACCATAAGAAGCAGCATCCCTTTTAAAACCATCACCAAGGCCGCGCCAACGGCGTGCTTGGTTAACAGTGCGGTCGTGAATATGGATTTTGTGACACCGAGCTCACGCGGAATAAAATGCAGGACACCACGAGACACCGAATCCTACATTACAAGTATGCGAATGTACCGAACGAAAACGACACAGCGAGATGTATGAAAACACAAACCACGCGTTCCTACAATTGGTTTGGCAACGGACCACGCCTTCTTACAGTTGGTTGTCCTACATCGCCGTTACCTAACAACACCATTAGCACGTCTAGGGCCAGTCAAGCAGCGTTACATAATCAGCATAAGAAACATCCTCACCATATCAATCATTGCCAGAACCAGCATGATCGTCGCCGTCAGCATCGTCGCCCTCATCATCATCCCCACCCTCGTGGTCAATATCGTCGTTCAAATCATCGGTATCACCATCATCACAATCACCGTCACCATCATGATCCCCATCATCATCAGCACCATCAGCATCATCACCATCATCATCCGCATTTGTATTATCACCATCATCAGCATCAGCATCATCAGCACCACCATCAGTATCATAACCACGACAAACACAGCATGACCATCAGCATCAACATCATCGCCATCGGCATCATCATAACCACGATCATCATCATGACCATCAAATTCCTCAGCGCCAACATCGTTGTTGCCATCACCATCACCATCCTTATGACCGTCCTCATCCACATCCTCATCCTCATCACCATCATCATCACCATCATCATCACCATCATCATCAACATCCATCACCATCCTCATCATCAACATCATCATCCTCATCATCATCATCATCATCACCACCATCATCACCATCATCATCATCATCATCATCACCACCATCATCGTCAACACTCTTCGTAGGTCCCCGCGCGCGCGGAGTCCACGACGACGAACGACGACCGCTTCGGGGAATGGCTCCGCCGAGAGGCTGGGCTGTAGCCCCTGAGCGGGCGGACAAAGACCACGACCGCGAGACGCTCGGGAGCGCCCTTCTGGGACGGAGGAACACAGACCGGAGGGGGCCTCAAATGACAAACGAACAACACGCACCCATACCCATACCCATAGAGAGGACGGAGGGGGCTATGGGTGCGTGTTGTCAGATGGGGGTCCCCGCTCGTACGGGAGCCTCCCCCGCGGTCCGACAACCCGCACCCATACCCATAGCAAGTCCTCCTCCCGCCGACCCCCCTATGGGTATGGGTGTGTGTGTGTGTTGTCCGTTCGTCATCACAGCGGGCACTGAACTGGCCCCTCCATGGGCACTGCCCAAGCAGAATACTGTCGCGTCTGGGGGCGCCCCTGTCAAGTCGGGGATCCACCGACTCGGGTCAATCCAAATTCGGTTCGGTCAGGCTTCACAGGGGCCTGCAGGATCCTGGAGGATCCTGCGCCCGAGCCTGGGTGAATGCAACCCTGGCTCTGCAGGACCCTGCAGGATCCAGTGCTCTGACTGACCTCCCGTTTGCAGTGACCCCCGTCTCTTGATTTGGACGCCCAAGATGGGTACGGAAAAATTGGTACAATGCCCAACAACAAATGTTGCCCCAAACCAACAGCGGCCGCTGTTGGGCAGGCGGCCCTCTGTCCTTCTGTCTCGGATGGACACAGGCCGCGGCGGCACGGACAGCGAGTCCTGTTCAAAATGAACAGGAACTGCTGTTGGGCATTGTACCCATTCTTTCCGTACCCGTTTCGGGCCGTCGCGCGCTCTGATCCCTGGCCCTCGCCGTCGCCGGCGTCGTCGTCGTCGCCGCCCCCGCCGCCCTGCCCCCAGGTCTGAGCAGCCCGCAGGAGCTCCCGACCGTGCCTGGGCGCGCTCGCTCCCGTGCAGGTCGCGCGCCCAGCCAAGACTCTTGAGCCACGACCGGGGGCAATCGCCCTCCCCCCCCCCCCGGCGCAGCAGCGGTGCCCGCCACCCGCGGGCGGCCCCCACCGCGGTGGCCCCACGGGGCAGGGCAGCCCTCGCGCGCCCCCGCGCGGCGCCCGCTCCTCGGCCTCCTCCATTTCCTTCTGCGCTTTCTGCTCGAACCTGGCAGGGGCGGGCGGACCGCGAGGACGCGGAGGCGTCGGCAGGGGAGGGGGGGGAGGAAGTCACACTGCCCGCGGCGGGAAGAAATCCTCCGGGCCGCCTCCTGGCCATCCTCCTCCTCCTCCTCCCCCTCCTCCTCCTCCTCTTCCTCCTCCTCCTCCTCCTCCTCCTCCCCTCCTCCTCCTCCTTCCCCTCCCTCCTCCTCCTCCTCCTCCCCCTCTCCTCTCCTCCCTCCTCCTCCTCCTCCTCCTCCTCCTCCTCCTCTTGTTCCTCCTCCTCCTCCTCCTCCTCCTCCTCCTCCTCCTCCTCCTCCTGTTCCTCCTCCTCCTTCTTACCCCTCCTTTTCCTCCTCCTCTTTTTCCCCCCCTTTCATCATTACCCCCTCCTTCTACAAAATCCTCGTCCCCCGTCTCCGCCGCCGCCTTCACCTGCTGCTGCTGCTGCGCACTTCTCTGAAAAACGATGTGTCTTCGGTCCCCATGCAAGGGTTTTGGGGGCAAAGGAACGGCAAGGCAGACAACGAGGGGGATACATCCACAAGCCTACCACCAAGGCCCAACTCTGGAAGAGCGGGGTACGCTGCCGCCCGGTCTCAGTAACGGGCGTCTTTGATGTAGGTACGTGCGTACCTCATTTGTGTAAGTAAAAGTGCTCATGCTCGACTAGCAGCAATGCCAAAGAGTTCCCCACGTGTGCTCCTGCAGGTAAGGATCGGAGGGCACACAAGGGCGGCTGGCTCTGAATCCATTTCGACCACAATTCCCTGAGCACCTGCAGTGATCCGAGAATCGGCGTTGTATGTAAATATACACAATGTATGTAAATGGTGTAATATGATATGAAATGCGGTGATTTCGGGAAGCCGTCATCAGGCGCGGCATGTTGGGCATTTTGGGATGTTCGAAGATGAAAGCAAAGCGGTTGGCAGCACCAACAACGCGAACACGAAAGTCGTTTTGGAAGTGCACAGCCCGAAAGTACCTGCTCCCAATCTTTACTTGCCGTCCGTTCACGCCCCCCTGGTTCAAACGCCGAGGGCAAACCGCGAGGTCGTGACCGCCAGGGGAGGGAAGTCTTTGGCACCTGACCATGTTTCGCACGGTGGTCCTGCGACTATTGCAGCAAATCCCTGATGCACGCAAACGGGCAAGGTCTGGATGGAATCCTTTCGCGAGAGATCTCCCTCCTCGGCGTCGTTTACATGAGCAATGGATGAACGAGCTATAAAGTTTGCCTCTCGCGCAATCGCCGCTGTATTGAGAAGGGCAAAATATATGATTCGCGCCTGCTGTGCTCACTGGCCAATGAACGGGTTGTGTGATGTCCGCCGCTAATGCATATTCTCCTGGCGCGCGCGTGACCCTGGGAGCGCACGTGCCATGGTCTCCCTCTTGGGCATTTGCGAGTGCAGGCCCTCCAACAGAACGGGGCGGGGCATCGGCTACATCTGGATAGTAGCCCTGCCCTCGCAGAGCTCTTTGGAAGTAGCCCGCCCTGCTCTCTCGCGCATGGGCGGCCTCGGGCGCCGGCCGCGTCCTGGCAGCGGGCGCGGCTGAGAGGCTGAGCAGGTCCTCGATCGATGGCGGAGGCGTCGGGGCAGGCGAAGCCTGGCGTGGCAATCGCACTTGCAGCATGGTAGTTCTGAGACTAGGACGATGTGGGCTGCCGGGTCAGACCGCCAGCGAGCCTTGGTCCGGCGGACAGCCCAGGGCGCCTCAGCGCTCGGGGCAGCGCCGCACTCGCGACAAACAAAGGCGGCAGCGACAGCAGAAGAAAGCAAGAAGTGAGGGAGCGGGGCTTTTGTGAGCTCGCACTCCTGCCGACCCATTCTTCCAGAGATCTCTGAGATCTCAAGGCGCGCGCGGTCCATCCATTGATTGAGCGCGCGCACCTTCGCGGGGCTGCAAAGAAACTCTCGCGAGGATCTATCGCGCTGGCAATCTCAAGGAAACTGGCAACGGGCCCGGGAGGAGACGCGCCGTCTGGCATCGCACAAACTCCACGAGCCATTCGATACACGTTGCAACTAGATCGGCCCAGGAATCGCGCACATTCGCCAGAGCCACCAGCGTCCACGCGTTCTGGCGGCGCGACGTCATACATCTGGGGGAACAAGCGCAACCGACGGACGAGAAGCACAATCTGCGGGCGATGGGCCTAGACGGCCTCCTACACATCGTATCGTCGGACGGACAGGCCCAGAACCTCTATTCTTGGCAATGAAGCCTGCGCAGTAATTCCGGGGGCCACCGCTCCGCGCGCGCCGAATTCTCGCGAGCGCCCTGCACTGCGCCAGCTGGAACGCGCGACGCGCGGGCGCCGCGAGCTCCGCGCCCCGGGCGCACCCCCACCCCTTGCAATGCTCACGGCAACAGTGTCAGCGCAAAAGACGGCGAACGATGGCGCGCTGCATTCCGCGACCGCCCGATTCATCAGCGCGCGGCAGCGGGCCAACTGCCGCGCGCTATCCCGCGACGCGCAGAGCAGCTCAATCGCGGCGCAAATTGTTTCGCGAGGCGGCACGCGGAATGGGATTGACTCTGCCTCCCACTGTCGCGCATGCCGGGGATGACGCTCCGACGTATCTACGATGATCGCCTTGGCCACAAAAGCGCTGGCGCCGTCGGCCTTCCCCGCGCATGCTTGGCCAAAGCCTGATGCGGGGGGCTCGAGGCGATGCTGGAAGGCGTGGGCGTGCCACAAGCCCTTGCCGCACATGGTGCCCGTGGACGCAGCGCGACCCGTGTCCACGGGCCGCGACGGCGTGAATTCGGCTTCATGCTGACAGATTGCCTGCAAGTTGCGAACTCCTGACGCCAACATTGATGGTTGTTCCCCCCTCGGCGTTGCATCTGCCATCGCATGCCCAGTCGGGGTGTCGACTGGCGGAGGGCCCGAACTGAAGTCTGCGCACTGCCTGGCAGATCGCTGTCCAAAATTCCGATATGCCCCCTCATCCGCGCGCCCCCAACCGCCAGGCAAATCCGTCGCAGCATCTGGCCTGGTCGCCTGGTCGGCTAGCCGCGATGTGGTCCCCACCATATCCCAAGCGCGCCGATTGCGACATAACAGCCTGGCTAAGCTGGCCACCTCCTGAGCTGCGCTGCGCTGGCGAAGTCGGAGTTGGAGAGAGGCGGGTGGAGCCGCATTGGAACCAGCCCTCCTCTGACCGTTGGGGCGATTGAGACGGGGGGCAGGGTGCCGGCCGAACAAATCCTAGCCGTCGGCGGCCTGGGCGCGCCGGCCTGCGCCCGGTACGACGCGGCGAAGGCGAGGCTGGCACTGCGCCTCGCAGCGGAGGCCTCGCGCGACCAGGGGCTCTGAGGGAGGGCCTCGCCCCCCGGCGCCCCTCTCGCCCCGGCGCGCAGATCTGCCGCGCAATGCGGCCCGAGTCTCGCCCCCTGCGAGGCGGGCCGCTGCTGCCCAGATCGCTCGAACCAAGAACGCGGCCAACCTGGGTCGGGTCCATCGGCGCGGCCAGTGCGATGAGCTCCTGGCTCGCGCGGATCGGCCCCGGGATCGTTCCCGGGTCAGGCCGCCCCGCGCATCCCCCAGGTGGGCGGCTTGAAGCGGGGCTGCCTTCGGCGCGGCGCCCGGGCCGTGGAGATCTCCTCTCCGATCGGCGTCGACGCGCCCCCGATCGGCGTCTCGGCCATCAGAGTGGCGGGCGCCGCGGCGGGCGCGGCTGCCACTGGCGTCGCCGGCGATGGGCGCGCCGCTTGCGTCGTAGAAGATGGCTGCGCTGCTGGGGTGGGGGACTGTGGCGCCAGCAATGCCATCGCCGCAGCATGCCAGCTCGCGTGGATGATGGAATGGTCGGACTCGGGCGGGGCGCTGACCTCCGTCTGCGTCGCCATCATGGCGACCGCCACGGGGCCTCGCGGAGCTCTGGCAGCAATTTCCACCGCGGGCTCTGCATGATGCCGATGCCGAAAGTGCCGCTGCCGCTGCCGCCGCCTCGGCGATCTGCTGCTCGCTGCTCTGAACTGGCCGCGCCGCTGGCCGAGAGACCCCCAGCCGCGTTGCAGGAGGCCCGAGAAAACCTGGAACTGACTGCACAGGTGGATGCGCGATCCCCAACAGCATTCCAGGCGGCCCATGAACCCTGGCCGTGCGCGCGTTGTTTGGGGCGATCATATTTGAAGCATGGCGCAGCTGCGGACTCACTTCTTCGAGCTGACTCAACATGCGCAAGGGCTCGTCGGCACTGGTGTCGGAAACTAGGGGTTCGAGCGGCGGCCGTGCACCAGCGGGGCACTGCGTCGGCTGGGCATTAGCAACCGCCGGTGCCGCCCCTCCGCCTCCTGGAGGAGGCCGCCCGAATATGTCCGCCCAGTCCTCGCCCATGTATTCGGCATCGAGGTCGCCGTGGTCCTTGATCAGGTCCTGGAACTCGTGGATGCAGGTCCTATACTGGTTGCGGGGAGGTGCAGATTGCTGGCGCGCGTGGTTTGCCTCTGCCGTGCATCTGGATGGAGAGGGGCGCGTGGCCCATGTAGTGTAGATGGTAATCTCGGCGTCGATCTCCCCAGAGCGCGCATTGGCCAGCCATGGCGGACACGATCGACAGGGATGCCAGCGCGCCGAGATGATCCAACACCTCGGTGCTATATTGTTTGCGCTCGCCTGCTTTGGTGGGCGGCGCGACGCACAAGGTGCGCTGCTCCGCCACTGCGTTGGTGACCAGGGGCATCTTCTGTATAAGATTGGCGGTCTATTCGCTCGAGACTGTCCCGCCCTCAACTGCCCGCGCGGCCTTGGCCTGCGCGCTGCCAACTGGGACTGCTCGCGGCAAACAACGAGTCTCTCCACATGCTGTCACAGAACAACTGCGCAATGTGTGCCGGGACGCGCTGACAACGAGCGCCGTGCCACATCTCCTGGGACGATTGGTGGAGCGAGCACACCTGTGCTGCTTTGTTTACGGCAACCTTCACGTTTCTTCATAGGGTTTTCTTGTTTCTTGCTTTCACGTTTGTGTTCTTGCTTTCGTTAGTATT